ACCTAACCTTTTTTTTTTTTTTTTTTTTTTTTTGTTTTTTTTTTGGTACTGGGAATCGAACTCTGGACCTTGTGCTTATCACCAAGCAGGCACTGTGCCACTGAGCTGTATCTCCAGCCTGTGCCACTGTATCTCCAGGATTTATGTCATGGACTTACAAAATTTTTTGATTTTGTGCTTTGTGCTTACATATTTACTAGATCAGGCTCCATGAGATACATGTGATTTCTCTTTTTAAGGGGCCTATAGTATGATTAGAAAAGAAAGATGAAATTACTAAAGAATAATTACAGAAGTATTTACAAGCAAGTACATAAAGTACAGTTTTGTGAACTAGATCATGAAACTAGTGAAATAGATATTTTAGAAAGAGAAAAATCATTGCGTATATGTGGGGTTTTTTGGTGGGGAGGATTGTCTTTGTAAATATTTCTTAGAGGATGACACTGAACCTTGTAACAAAATGTCATTTCAGATATGTAATAGTTGGTTTAAATTGGCTTCAAGCAGTAATAAAAAGGTGGTGGTCAGAACTGTCATCTAAAACAGAAATTATAAATGATAGGTAAGTATACCTTCCAAGGTAAAATCATGCAGAAATTTCTTCAGAAAAGCACCTTAAATAAATAAGGTGGGGGTGCTGGGGATATAGCTCAGTGGCATAAGCACCTGCCTGGCAAGTGCAAGGTCCTGAGTTCAATCCCTGATACCGTAAAAAAGTAAATAAATAAATAAGGCGGTAATTTTATTCCATGATCATCAGTGTGTAATATTTAGGTTCTTCATTTTCAGAGAAATATTAAGTTGTGATACTGTTCATTTGTGAAAATCATATGGAAGTTAAAGTCAAGAGCCCAGTACCCTCTTCTGTCTCTTCTCGTAAAACAATGCCCTTCATTTTAGTAAAAGGTCACAAAGTAGCTAGTCCCATGTCTGTTGTATGCATAAGGGAGAAGGAAAGACACTCTTCGTGGAAGAAGAAATGAAGGTCTCCTGCAGGGTCCTTTAGCAACTGGGATGTTAATGTGAGAGTCTAATGTTATCACAATTCTAAAAGCTATATAATACTCATAGTTTGAGTATTGAGTAGACATGAAATGTGTATTTTATCAAATGAGCCATATTTTCATGAAGCCACAAAGAAGATATCTCACAACAATCTCTTTAAAGTCTGTAATTCTTTCTTAGCTCTCAAGAGTTTCCCACTTCATAGGTAAGAAAACTAGGCATTTGCACAACCTGTTCTTATCTGCTTTGACAACTGGATAACCTTGAGTTTCTGTGATTGACATGTACTATTTTAAACAGTTGCTTGACTTTAAATAGTATGTAGTTCTCTTTTGATAAGACTTTGAAAATTCTAAGGCTGTTTTTATTAAGTGTGTTTATTACATAAGTCCATATCCTACTATTTATTTTGTCATTTTTCATCTTTTTTTCTTCCTAGAAATGTTCAGATTTTAAAACAACAATTAAGTAGATTGTGGGAACAGGAAAACCATCTTACTTTGGTTCCAGGCTATACTGGTAATATAGCTAAGGTAATCTATATTTAAGCTTAAAACTTAGGTATTAAAAATTAGAAATAATAATATTGTACATTTATAAATAAACTTTTCATGTCTCTAAACAAAATAATTTGATGCTGTTCTAAAAGCAGACAGGCATGGTAGCACACACCTTAATCTCCGTATTCTGGGAAGTTGAGGCAGGAAGCTCTCAGGTTCAAGCCCAGCCTGCACAACTTTTCTCTAAAAACCTTTTCTCGAGAAACTCGGATGGGGAAGGAAGGAAGGAAGAAGAAAGGGAAAAGCAAAAATGTGTGTGTGTGTGTGTGTGTGTGTGTGTATAAAGATAGTAATATTACTGATTTCTCTTAGTCCATTGAAAAGGAAGGTTTGTGCTATTATTGTTTGGACAATTAAATGCCAATATCTTGTACTCTGAGTAACTAATTTAAAGATAACAATATGCAGTGTATTAGCCATCATTACCCTCCTATTATCTTGCTTTGAAATTTATTTTATTTTTTTCTCTTTAAAAAGTCTTGAAAAAAAACTTTTCTCAAAAAACACCTGGATTCAGTCCTCCCAGTACAAGAAAAAAAGGCTAAAGGTAGTTTCATTTTTGCGACTGCTTAGTCTCCTGGGTATGAATATGGTCTAGGCAGGAAGCAGGAATTAGCCATGGAATGTGTTTCACATACAGTCACAGAAATGTTGTGCTAGACAGTAATAACCTAGTTTCAGTCAGAAGAATATTTGGAAAAAAGAATCCAGGTGGCAACAACATCAGAAAAGGCAGTGACACTCAGGAAACAAGAGATGAAGAATACAATCAAATGGATTTGGAATATTAATGTTTATTTTGGTGTGCTAATATTTTTGAAAGAGAACTATTTAAATCACAGAATAAATTTAATGTTGCTCCTTATTGATTTGACTCTTGAAGGAAAAGGTACACTGCTAGTTTGGGTTGTGATATTTAAACCCCAGAAAACACTGGTAGTTACAATCACAGAAAAAATTATTGTTGCTGGGTGTGGTGGTGCATACTGTAATCCCAGCACTTGGGAGGCTGATGCAAGAAGATTGCTGAGAGTTTGAGGCTAGGCTGGACCATACAGCAAGACCTTGCCTCAAAAAAAAAAAAAAAGTTAAGGGGTATTTCCAGCTTGGGGATAGAGCTTAGTGGTGTAGCACCTGCTAGCAAGTGCAGGGCCCTGGGTTCAATCCCTGGTGCCAACAAACAAAAAAGAAAAAACAAACCTTTCCCCCAAACAGCCAAATGTGCACATGCCTGTAATCCAAGCACTGGGAGGCAAGAGGATCACCACAAGTTCAAGGCTAATCTGGGCTACACAGTGGGTTCAAGGCCAGCCTGAACTACATAGTGAAACCTTGTCTCAAAAAATGAACAAAAAAAAATATTTCCAGTCCATTACTGGGCATGATGGTATCATAAGTGAACATTAGCCAAGAGTATAAAAATGTTCTTTGGTTTAAGAAAAAATACTCTGAATAAGGGGATTTATGTCATGGACTTACAAAATTTTTATTAATCACCTTCAAAAAAAGAAGGTGCCATCAAGCAAGGTGTTACCACTCTGTGATTTTACTGTATAGAATTCTGAATGATGACACTCTCATAAACATCAATTTCCTGGAAGTTTCTATTGTTTCAGTTTTTTCAGAGTATGCATAACATACTAGCATTAGCAGGAGAGGCCTTGTATTCTGGATAGAAACTGAGAAGTAATTGTTTCCTTAGAAATATGTTTTCATAAAAAAAGAAATGTGCTTTCGATTTTTAAGTTTTTATAAAAAGAGGTTTATTGCAAATAAGACTTTATTATTGAAGACTGTTGAGTGATTAAAAGTTCAGTGTAAACTTCTGTAAGCCTATAATAAAACCTGTGTTATGAAATTAAACCATCAGTTAAACTGTAAGTGTTTGAGGGTAGAAATCAGAGAGTCTGCTGTTAGACTAACCTTGAGTTTGTGTAGCATTGGTGGAATTGCTGTGTATTTTAACTAGGAGATCAGAGTTGTTTGAGTACAGGAACCAAAACATTCACTCATTTAACAGACATTTATTAAATATGTGTAATGTGTCACACCCTATGCTAAACTAAAGCAGATTAAAAAAAAAAGATTGAGTAAAACTTGTCTTTTATCTTCTTAAGGTCACAAAGGGAATGTAAGGCAAACAACAAAAAAGGAAAATAAAATGGATTGTGTTTGTATTTACTATACTGACTAATGCTTTTTTTTTTTTTTTTTTGCTTTATCTTCTAAGGATGTAGATGCTTATTTATTGCAGTTGCATTGAGAGATTCATCTACTAAAGAACATTTGGTTATTTAAAAACAACCCTGGACCATATGATTTCCAATTCTGAACTGTGGGAGAAATCAAAACAGTTCTTTCCTTTTAAAAATCCACATAATGAAACCACTAATGAAATCCTAACAATCTACTTCACATTGAAGTGGAAAAATATCCAAAAGGAGCAGCTTCAACTTCAATGAGGTGAAAGTGCACTATGAAGATTGTTCGCCTTTGCTGCATTTGGGGCTTATGGTTATTTAGTAGCATTGTTTAAGAACTACTGGGTCTTAATGCTGTGCTGCATTAGAATATAATTTATACTATGTGAAAAAAAGAAGACAGGACTTACTACTAGGAATCACAGAGACCAATCATGGATTTTTTTTGTGTGTTTTATATAAAAAAAAACACCTAAATGTGTGCAGCTATTTTCCTATGTTGAAGAGACTTTCAAAGTTTAAAACATTGTAGTAAATAATCAATATTAAAATTTTGTACACACTAAGATACTGTGTTTACAAAATGCCTTAATTATTAATAAGCCAATGTGTTATGATACCAATATCTTCTTGCTTTTGAAAAATTAGAATCAGCAATGCTTCTGGCATGATAAAATCATGGAATTAAATCAGGGGTTTACATTCATGTAGGATGTTTTTCTTAAAACATATTCCACACTATTTTTGATATGTGAGAATATTGTTAATATCTCTGATTTTTTTGCCAGAATTTTTGTGTCATGTCTGTATGTGTTATTGCTGTATAAAGAAAAAGGTGAATATGTATTTGTATGAATGTTTAACTGGAAATGTCCGTGGAGTTGGCTAATTTATATTCACTTTTTACTATGTATAGATCGCTAATATTTTTCATTTCTGTATCATTTAAACTTCATTGGAGTAAATTCACTAAGTATTTCTATTTTTTGCTTTTTTACTTCTGATTTTTATATGAATTCTAATCCTTTTTCACTACATTTTAAAGAGTTACAGTGCTTTCGAATTGTTTACAGCTAATGGCTGACCTTGTATTTTAAATTCCAACACTATGCATTACTACCTCCTCCAGTGGTTAGTGTGAAATGCCAGCTGACTGCATGTGATTATTTTTGTGTGTCTTTTTTTAAAATACCATTTGTAACGTCAGTGAACCCAATTCTGTAATGTCTTAATAGCTCTAAATCTTACCTGTCTTGAAAGTGATTGGGGTTTAATACCACTACTGGTGGTTCATACACCATCTTATCTTTAATAAACCTGTGACAGGCATCTGAGGGAAGATAAAATCAGATTTCTCCTCTGCACAGTATTCCTGAAGAATACAAATCTTTAATATTTATGTAGTTAGTAACTACTGATAGGAATCTCCATCATCTTTCTTGCTGTAAAAGTGTTTAAAACGTTCTGTTTTTGCATAGCTATATTTTATATAGCTATATATTCCTCACAGTGAGAATCAATTGTAGTAATTGGCTGTTAAGTCTTTTTTTTATTATTATTTAAAAGAGCAAAAGAAGGACAACATAGCAATAGGGGTATTCACCAAATTTAGTCTTTAGAGTTTTCTAGATTACCACACTTGTGATTGAGAGGTGAGTTATTTAAGAAGTCATTTTTTAAGATGTGGAAATTTGAATCGTAAACCTGTGCCATCTCTGTGAGTTCCTAAGATGATGAAATACAGCCTTTCTTTGTTCCTATTCCTTTAGTTATCACTGTCTTACTTCACACTTCGCATGAGTTCACTTGGTTGGAGTATAGTGCTAATGGGACTGCGGACAGGAGTATGAGGCCCAGAAGTTCGCTAACTTTATGCATTCACAAAATGATTTCATGACTACAGATTGCACCTTCCCCCAGGTCTCCATCTCTTAAAGTTAACTGATCACAAGAAAGATGGTGTGTATGATTTATCATAAACCATTATCTTCAAATGGAAAGATAAGAAAAATATTGTATTGTTAGTATAGTCTCCTGACATGTAAGATAGTATGTACAAAATAAGACACCTGAAATACTGTATAATTTTTAGTTTCACGATGTTTGGGGGGGTTTTGGTTTGGTTTTATTTTGTTGAGACAGGGTCTCGCTATGTAGTTCAGGCTGGCCTGAACTGTGTTCCTGGCTGGCCTTGAACTTACGGCAATCCTTCTGCCTCAGCCTACCAAGTGCTGGGATTACAGGCATGTGCCATTACGCCCAGCAATTTCACAGTATTAATACTGGGTCATATCATTGGCTAAGTAGTATCTATAAAAATCAAATTTCAATAAAGCAAACATCAGTAAAAAGTAGAAATACAAATGAAATAAAGTAAGGAAAAGTATTATCCTTATAACAGTGAGTTATTTTGCCTACATTTAGGTTTGGTGAAGGCAAGTAAGATAAAACTCCATTCTGTATACTCAGCTATATAAGGAAGTAGTCTTTAGATCACCAAGATTATTCAGTGGATTACTTATTCCACATTTCTCTTCTTGGCCTTTGCAGTTTTCCGTAGTACCTACCTCTTTCAGTTATGGAATTGTGAGGGTTAGGTGATGTTTAGATTCTTGAAAGAAAAATGTTAAGTAAATAAGTATTGTTTTATCATTGCTGTTGCTATTAAGCTCTTCTCATGCTACTGCATTTTAATTAGAGCATTCTTGATATCTAGAAAAAGCCAAAGCAAGTGTTTACAAAGTATTTGAGCTTTTGTATTGACCTAGTTTGGGACAGTTGATAGTTGTAGTTCATTTGTTTCATGATGCTAAGCAGTATACAAAACAAAGGACCTATTCAAGGTAGCCTCTTTAGCTTTCTTACCTTAAGTTTTCTATACTTGACTTTGCTAACTTTGCAAGTACAGGGACAGAGAGTTTATTGAGGTGATAGAGAGTTATAATAACAATTTGCATTTACTAGAGATAACATGAGTGGATTTTGCGTAATGATTATGATAAGAATAAGGGGGACCAAGTGTTAGATGGCTTTTTAATAATTTACATGAATCCTGAGGTGTGAGAATTTGAATCTAAGTATCTGTATACACTTTGGGAAGTCATAAATACGAGAACTAAACTCTAAGGGTTACCAAGGAACTACATCCCAGTGCCTCCAAGCATACTTGGTACATGTCATTTGTGTGAATTTAATGCTGTATTTCTCACCTTTGAAACAGTTGTTTTCTCACTTAGATTCCTATATTTTTCAATATTTATATGAGCAATGGGTAATTAATTGGAGTGATGTTATTAGCTATTGAATGCTGATAATAGAAGCCATTTAAGAGCTTAGTTAAATTAGTCAAGGAGTCTGAAAAAGCAAGGCTTAGTATTTCATTTTATTTCCATTTATCTTCCTGCTTAAGGGGGAGATTATGGTGTCAGTTGCCTTTGTTGGTTTTAAAAAAAAGCACAAACAGCTAGCACCTGGAGCAATCTGTTGGCTACACTGCTTCTCATCTTTCATTTTTTATTTTCTGATTACCTCAAATAGAGATAATACTGTATATTGGTAATTCTATACTCCTGTTATCTTTCTCCCTTAATTTCTAACCTTGAAAATTGTCAAAACACTTTGCAACACACTGTTCCTTCTCCTTTATAATTCTGTAAAAGCTCATTCCTAAGCACTGTATATTTCTAATTTGTAATATAACTTTATGAGTAATAGAACCAACTATAACAATAAAAGTAAATACTGCGTATTATGTATTTACCATCCTGGATACACTTTCCAGTGCTGTACATAACATAATATTTGAAATACTATAGTCGTTATAATTTTATCTGGATCAAATTATTGATTAAACAGTACCTTCTAAAATCAAAGTTCAATAAAAATTAAGTGCAAATGCAAATAAAGCAATATATACCATGGTATTTTTCTTTACAGACTGTAAATAGTTATAAAACAAAAAGACAGTTACTATTTACCAGTAATTCCATACAGGGACAAACACACAGCTGTCAATGAATTTTTCTTAGCAAAACTTGTTATATATTATTCCTTTAATGTACAGAATTATTATTCCCTGAATTAAGAAGTTTTGTACTGGTGTTTGTTTTTGCAGTGCTATGGCTCAAACCCAGGGCCATGGCATACTAGGCAATATTCTACCACTGTTACACCTCAGCTGCCTAAGAAGTTTTCAGAGGAGAAATGCTAGGAGTCCAGATAAAGATTCAGCCCCCAAATATGCAGGATCTGGTGTTGATTCGTAAACTTTATTCTTGGTTTTCATTCAGATTTAAGCCAGGATCTTTATTAGTATTATTACTATTATTATTGTTATTTTAAATGTTGCTCTGGCCATGACTGTTGTAACACTGGATTTCAACAAAACTTCATCTAATCCTTACTATTCCTGAAAGTCCCCATTTCCAAGTACTGTTAACTATGAATTTGAAGGTTAAGTTTCAAACACATCAACTTTTGAATTATATACACACTACTGCATATGGTTTACAGTCTCTTGATACCTCCGCACCAGGCAGAATCAGCTTGTGACAATGTATGGAATAATTGCACTTTTGCGAATGATTTGAACACTCCACAAAATTCACACAGTTAATCATTTCCTTAATTGTCACATCTCAGCAGAGTTGCTCTGAGAAGTCTTCTCTGTTCGCCTTTCTCTAGAGCTGATGTTACCTCACTTAGAAGTGTTGGGTGCAATACTTGCTTGTTTTCAGGCTGTTCTCACTCACATTCTCAGTGTCTAGCACACAATGTAGCAAGTACTTGGCATTTAATTCTTACTGAATAAAGCAAGAGTGTAGAATCTTCAGATGTAAGTTGAATAACCAAATAATTTAGTAATCCAGAGGCATTTTTAAGCCAGGTGTGGTGGCACATGCCTGTAATCCCAGCACTTGGGAGGCTGAGGCAGATGGATTGCTGTGAGCTCAAGGCCAGCCTGAACTACATAGCGAGACCCTGTCTCAAAAAAAAAAAAGAGTCATTTTTAGCCGTAATAGCCTAAAAACAAGTACTTCCCAAATAAAAAATCTCCAGTTTTCTTCTCTTTTGCTATACATGTTCATGCTACAACAAAATAAAAACCTTAGCTAAAATAAGTTTGACCCTTAAAAGTTGTTTGCTTGCTTTTCTGTTGTATGGTTTCTACACTTTATATGATAGCCATGTATGTGAGGACCATCTATAAAGTGCAAAATTAAGGTATTTTCATGTAATGTGTGAAATACATAAATTTTCTTGGAATTGAGAGTGTCCCTTGGGCATTTTCTCTTTCACTTTTATCTGAAAAATAATTGAGAATAATGTGAGGTATAGCGGGGGTTTTTTCAGTGTAAGGTTGGTTTTTTTAGTTTTTTTAGGTTTTGTTTTCTCTTTTGTCTTTGAGACAGGGTTTCACTATGCAGTTCAGTCTGGCCTTGAACTCACTTTCTAGCCCCAGGCTGGCCTAAACTCACAGCAATCCTCCTGCGTTAGTCTCCTGCATGCTGGGATTATAGGCATGTGCCACCATGCCTGGCCCATTTATGAATTTTTTAAAGTAAAGACAGAATTAGTCTGTAAAGGTAACTAAATGCATGCAAGTGTAGCAAAATAAATCAAAATATACTTACCATGTTAGGATTTTAAGAATAGTTTTGATAGTAATGATTTAGTTATTTGTTGGCTTAGTCTAATAAGCATTTCTGCATTGTCAGACTCCGTATAGAGTCTGACTTCATTCTACAAATCTCCCAAATATGAAAGGATGAAAGTTTGCTTTGAAAGTTTGTGAGAAACCGGGCATAGTGGCACATGCCTGTAATCCCAGCACTCAGGAGGCTGAGGCAAGAGGATCCTGTGAGTGGAAGGCCAGCCTGGGCTACAAAGTGAGTTCAAGGCCAGCCTGACTGCACAGTGAAACCCTGTCTCAAAAAAGACAAAAAAATTTCTGATAACTTTAATAATAACTAGAAATTACAT